ATTTAAAAAAGTTAGCAGGATAAGAATTAAAAAATTAATATGCTTTAAATATATAATCTATCGACAAAGTATATATTATGTCTTCAAACTAACTTGTTCATTCAATTAAAATCTTATTAAAGACTATAAAAAAATATTGGGAGAAAACGTTTAAATTGTAATAAGAATACAATAATAACAAGATTAAAACAATCTGATAACGCGAAACATCTGATAACACACATATCCTAAATATAAACAATCGTGAAAAAAGACTTAAACGATGCTCGATAGTACGATGGACAAGTGACTTCGCCATTGATTAGATGGCAAACGTAGTTAAATGAAACAACTATCGGAAAGAGCGGACTGTCAGGAAGCAAGCTTGATGCAACACTATTAAACGGTGCGCCAAGTTAATTAATCAAATTACAACACGCTACACGCTACGCTAATGACGAGACGTAGCATTACATTGTCCACGACAATGTCCGAAGCCACTCACCACATTTTGCATTTTTCGCCTGTAAATACCGTAGATTCTTGACTGTTTAAATACATTTTTATGAATATTGTTCGATTACATATAGATATAATACCACAGAATGTACGATATTAATTTTTGATTCAAATACGAATTTTCTTATTATTCTATTGATATACACTACTCTTAATGAGAAAATCGCATTTTGTAGGAATAAACTGCTTTGAATAATTGAAATATTTATTATCTTTCATATTTTATATGTCGAACTGACGCCATTTGTTGAACAAGATTATTGCGTCCGTTCTTTTTCATTTCTAAATACATTCAAATAAATAATTTCTTAGAAAATAAATATTCTTATCATTCGCATATGTTATGCCATTATATATATAATCTTACAGATTTGTAAATTTACCTTTTCCATACATGCTTTTTTCGAGAATTATCGTCTTTAAAAGGCATAGTACTTTAGATATATAGACACTTTCCGTTTTCTCTTCGCGCATGGCAAACAGCTGATTTGCTACAAGTAAAACATCTGTCTTTTTTGTGACATTTGCGGCAATCGAAGCACGATGATTCAATTGATTTTCGGTTTCGTGATTTGTGTTTTCGTGACTGCGAGCTTCGTAGACACGTATCCACACAGATATAACGGTATTGTAAAAAGGCTTTTAATAAATCTATATTTTCAATCGTATTTTTTGGCGTTTGTAACCTAAAACAAGGAATGACAGCTGACAGCATTTTTCTAACTTTCCTGTCAAACGTGCATATTTTGATGAACGTTGTTCCAATAAAATAAACAGTAGAAATTGAAATGATTATAAATTTTTGAAACCTTATCTGAAAAACATCTCTTTTTCAGTAAAAATAATATGTGTCAAGTATTAAGAAATAATTTAATCCTTATGCTTAAAGAATGCTAAGCTTTTTCATATTTTCTTCAAAAATTTTGCTAGTTGATTTATTTGTTTTTTAAATAATATATCGAATTATTCAGTTTCTTTGTCATGATTGCTCAATTGTCTTGCAGATTATAATGACGTACTTGAGGAACAAGATGAGAATGTTGTGCAACGGCTAATGCATTTATTGCATTATGGTTACAAGTACAACAAGGAGAATCGTAGAAATATTGACAATGATCTTGAAAATTGGACCGGACGTTGGATGCCTGATAGACCTGACGATACAACACCACCGCCTAAAATATTGCCAAAGGACAAACGATTATATGAATATGAATCTATCACAGAATTTCCTAACGATATATATATGGGCCATGTATCACCAGAATGTGACGATGCTAAGGTTAATATCACCTTTAATCATACAGATTGTCCATATTGAAACAGTGCCTGAATATTTTTAATTGAATTATATAACATGTGTATTTTAGTAGCTATAAAAATTTTAGACTAATTTAACTATCGATTGGGATCATACCCCAGCAGAATATACGTGTTATGGTCATAAAATCACACCAAGCATGATTCCTCCGAAGATCTATTGTGAGAACATTCCAAAGACATATAAGGTAAAAATATTTTATACTGTTATTGATGTAGTGATATTATATTTATGGCGAATTTGGTTGAAATCACTAGTGCGCACTGCTGCACATTAAAGGCTGTCGTATACAAATTTACAATAATATAAGTAATTAAAACAGTAAAATAATATTAATACCACAAGTTATTATTATCATATTGAATAACAATAACAATAACTCATTAATTATTTTACTATTTTAATTATTTATGATATGTAAATTTATGATATGTGTAAATTTGTATACAACAGATTTTAATATGCACCAATGCGCACTAATGCATTTAATAAAATTTGCTATTAGTAATATGAATTTTGATCAAAGCATTTTTTCAGGCTGCTCACAAATGTATGAATCAAAAAATCGAATATGATGACGATATCCCTATTTAGTAAGTAAATAATATTTTCTGGTTACTTATAAACATCATTATTATTAGTTTCTAACAATAATTATATACGATTTGTAGCGGTCCACATAGACCTTTGTGGCCGGTTTATGGAGAATACAAATTTTTGCCAAAACAGAGATGGTTGCATAATCTTGAGGTAATATCGTCATAATGTATTACTTATGAATTTGGTATCACATTATTATTTACGTTTGTTTATCCTATTTTATCCTATTAACAGCATGGAGCGATCGTAATGTTATATCATCCATGCGCGAATCCGCTGGAAGTAGAACGTTTGAAAAATCTGGTTAATAAATGTCTGTGGCGACATGTTATCACACCATACAGTTATCTGAACGAGGAACATGTAAGTATAGAACTGTTTTAATAGTCTCTTTTTAAATCTTTTTCCAATTTTCCTCATCGAGACACCCCTAATTAAATAATTTCTATCTATATTTATATATGATTGAATTCATATTCTTTCATTTTTCTCAATGCTATCATTCTTTAATTATAATATATATTATTCTTAAAAGTTTAGCTATTTGATCTATTCTATCTTTGCAGCCTTTAGCGCTTCTATCCTGGGGCTGTAGATTGACTATGTCTTATGTAGATCCTACACTGGTAAATCATTTTATACGGAAAAAGGCTCTTCGTGCTCCAGAATGGCGGATCGCGGAAGATGGTCAATTCGAGGACGGATTGCTCAGTCAATCGAACATAGTGTCGGATGCAACAGATTCCGTGCTTTGTCCTAATATATAATAAGCAAATGTATTATATATGTGACACAATGATATCTCTTGCATTTCCAAACTCGCGATTAATATGTAATTTCTGTTTATATTTTGTACATATTATTTTATTGAATACTCAAGTAGTCATCGCCTGTTTTCCATTATATATGATATTTAGTTAGATGTGTGAAAACTATTTATTTGCAATATTTTAATTATTTAGAGTAAGTGAACTTTCCTACATAATATATACACAGTATATGATTATATCTTATAAGAAATATATCGAATAATAACAATAAACTCACATATATAAATACAGATCAATCCTAGTGTTCCATTTTTTACAATTGCGTTTCTTTCATCTTTATGCACCTTGCATTTGTAGAGGAGATTGGACGAGAGGATTCAAGAAACTTATAACCGCTCCTTTTTTCTTTTATTCCCCATATATTCATATATTCTTTATCCTTCGAGAAGATCATTAAATACATTGAACATCGTGTCGGTTTTTCGAATTTTCCTTGCGGACCGCTTATCTACAGATGTATAGTAACTTCACTGCAGTGCTGATTATAATCTTTATTCTTGCGGATTACTTATCTCCAATGATATATAAAATTAGGGATTAAGACAAGTGTGACACGCTACTGTTGTTATTGAATGCAAAATATGCTACCCGACTACTCAATTGTTATAACGTAAAAGAATATAATTGTACAGTGAACGCTTGGTTACTCCTTCTTGTTTCTTTATCGCTTTTGCGAATATATATGTGAATGTCGAGAGTCATTATTCTTACATCGTCGATGTTTTTCAAGTGCGGCACGAGCGGAAGCTGACGATTCGCGTCGAAAAGAGCGGAGAAGGCGCGTCTTAAAAATTAAAAATTGATTAAGAATTTTTCCGCGAGAATATATCATATCAGAGAATTATTTTCAGAATAAGGCATCGTAATTTTTCTTTATATATTTTAGATAGTTTAATTTTTCAGACCATCCAATATTCCATAATCTTGTAAGCGTCCATTTTTTTAAAACTGCTTCGGATGTATTAATTTTTTTGGAATGTGTCAATTTTTACAGGTGTCTTATTTTTCAAATGGTTCTTTATATCTCATTTCTTCGTACAGCATAAATTTTCTTTGATATTATTCAAATATATCTTTTGAGGTCAGAAATTTCGCGACTTTGAGGTCAGAAGTTGCTCTTTTGGATACGAGCCGCCGCTTCGTGTTCGATCGAAACAAATGCTTTTCTTTTATTTTTCTCTTACTCTTTATTCTTCGTGACGCGCGCGATTCAGCGATTTCCAACTGTATTCGGCACATCGGAGATATTTTTGCAATAAATTTTCTTTTACTAGCCATTTGTGGAATTGCCGTACACACGGTCTAAAATAATAAAAACGACACTGGTTTCATGCGTCGCAAAAACCGTATTTCGGAAGCAATAAGCGTACAAGAGATTATAGTTTTCCAGCTGTAGATGTTCCCGAAAGCAGTTGGAATTCTTCACCAAATGCACGGTTAGAGGCCTACGCTCAGAAGGATTTTTCCATTGTGCTTGATTACACGACGAAAGGGCGCACATTCACTTGATCACATATTATCACTACTGAATTTATCACCGCTGCACCCGAACAACCCAAAAGTCCAAGAAATATCGATTTTACCAACACAGGCTGATTTTATATCTGATCTAATCGATTATTGCGTTTTTTCCTTTCTAATTATAGTGCTAAAAACGGACACAGGTAATTACTTAAACTCCGATCAAAATTAAATTGGTGAAACTTTAAATTTGATGAGATTTATATAAAAACAATTTTAATTGATTAAAAATGTTTTTTAATCCTGAGTAGTTGCGTTACAAAAAATTCTTTAAACTTAAAAAAAAAAAAATATATATTTCTCATATATATAGTATAATTTTATTTTTATTGTTTCTTATTTTTTTAGATTCCGATCCTTTTTTTTGTTTACTAAACAATTAATATGTAATAGCGTAAGAAAAAACTGAATACAAGACAAATCATTCACGCATCAACAAGTCTTCCAAACATTTTTTGGACCTTTTCTGTTGTCCGGATATCGTTGGCCTTGTTCTCTCCGACTCGTAGGGTTTATCCTGGCTATATAGGGCCGGAAGGGCAGGTTCATTCGGAGCAGACGAGACGGAGTCGTTCCATCTCGCTCGTCCTCGAGCGAACGTATGATTATGCGAGAAAGGATGTGTTTCAGGGGAGGAATCTCTTAAAATTATTGCCATTTTTGTACAGTGTCAATGATGATGATGATGATAATATAATAGATGATAATAGTAATAGTAGTAATAGTAGTTAATCGTTAATTAGAGACAAGAACGCAAGGATGCCTGATTTTATCGACGCGTCTGCTTTGCTTTGCTCCTTCTCTCGGCTTTTCATTCAGCATTTAGAGTTTCTTCTACATGGAGAAAGAAGTTATACGCTCGCTCACAAAAGCGGACGCAAGACGCTGGTTATACGTTATAGGCAGAAAAAACACCGTTGACTTAGAGTTGCCTTCAGTAAGTATTCTTGTTAATACAGTATGCTTTTTTTATTATTTTTATGGTTTCTCGTCTATATGAAATATCTATGATAAAAAGTATTCATTATTTCTATCTCTCTTTCTCTCTCTTTCTTACTCTTTTGCACATGCTACGATTTTTAATTTGTTTTTTTTTTTAACATATATATATACTTCTCGTTCACTCTCGCTCTCTCTCTTTCTTTCTTTCGCACACACACATTCTCTCTCTCTCTCTCTCTCTCTTTCGTTCCTAATATTTTTTTTTCAGTTTCGATAAATTAAGTTTATCAATAATCTCACTTTGCCGCGCGTCATCGGAATTTCGCGCGCGCGACTCTTATTTTTAATGTTAAAACCGTTTAAGATTCTTCTCCCCCTTTCGTCCTTTGACGCCGTATCAACTCTTTGTTTTTCATTTATTTTTGTTCTTTTCTCTTAAAACTCTCGCAAAATTACGATTTACACTTGAAATTGGAATTGACACTCATAAGGTTATTAAAGTAGCCTCTTTCGTATTTAATAATTGCACCGACATGACATCAATCCACGTGTTCACGGACGTTCAGATCGATCCCTCTTGATCACATTGTCAGTATCTTGTCAATATCTTTCTTCTTTCTCTTCCTCTTCCGCGCGTGTGTCTACACACATCCGCAAATGGATCGCGTGTCCGAAGATTCTTGGATCGATCTGCAATCTTTTTCTATCCTATTCTACGTACAAATGCAATAAAATAGCTTATTTAAACGATGCCCTTCCAGTTTCTTCCCTTCCTCTTTCTTTCTATTCGAACTCCCGCGTATATATAACTCTAGCTAATCGCGACGAATAAATATAATCGAGAACACGGAAATTGTGTGACCGGGCTTAATATGTTCGTTATGTTTCTCATAGCTCGTGTGTCGACACGAGCAAGCAGCTTATGCTCTCGGGACATAGAGATTCTTAAGGAAGACGAGTCAGCTTCCGCGATTAGCTACCTAATTGTGATGCTCGCGAGAAGAATGTACGCGAAACGCGAAACGTTTCGCACATTCACGACGTTAAAATCCGACGGTGTCACCAATATCACGATCCTAGAATACGAAGGACAGAACTCTGCCAATATTGCGGGATTCGTCTGCTTTGTTTATGCTTTCTTGCGTCTCAACTGACGATGTGACGCGACGACGAAATCGCGAGCGCGAAAAGAAAGGATTCTAAATGCCAAAACGAGCGAGATCAAAAGCGATTGAAGTCGAAAAGACTAAATGAGATGGACTGGGATGGACATCGGGACGTCCGACCTTGATCTGAAAAATTCAAATGATCCCGAATGACAAAGGTGGACGTCGGGATGATATTGATCGATCGATCAATAATAACGTGGAGACGCGAACAATGTTCCTTTACATCTTTAGGCCAGATTCGTTTAAACGTACAGTCGGCTGTTGTGCACCGATAAGACTACAATGTTACTCGTATAGAATCTCTCTCCCTCCTTTCATCTAGTAATAAGAAATTGACGACGATAGGTGTAGGTTTATTCAATTCCTACCACGAAGAGTTCGCTATAAAGCTAAAGTTACGAGATACGAGACTGCGCGTCCGAGGTGATGCGTCCGCGTTGCGGATTTAACGGGATTTATATCGGGTAGTTCCGAAAAACCAGACTTCTCGTCACGACGATCTGTTACGAAAAAATGATATATGATTTGTAAAATAAAGCGATCACACGCAAGAGAGATAGGAACGCGCTAAAACTTTATACAGATTAAATAATAGAGAAGGATAAGAAGGGAAACGTTTGCATCTTTCTCGTGTGAGATTTCACGCGGTTAAGTTAGGCGGCTCGATGAAGTGCAAGGAAAGTATAACGCGAAAGAGATGGAATCGTAGCTTGAAACGAGAAGGATACGCTTTCGCGTCCGCGCGATTCTTATACATATCTTCTACATTTTCCCCAACTTGACTGAAAGAGGATCTTTCCTTCTTTTTTTGCGAGTAACGTGAAACTTCTCAACGACACAAACGAGCGCAAAGACATCCTCTCTTCAACGAAATCCATTGATTAGCCAGATAATAAATATCAGAGAGAATAGTGTATATATATATAT